AACTGGGCTCAAACTGATAAGCGATATTAATGACGCCACTGTTTACAATACGACCGGAGCACATGCCGCTGAGGTGAGTAGCGGGACGTTAGGTGTGCACTAGAGGCGGTTTAGCCAATCACAACACACTGGGCCAGCTAACCAATCAGAGCCCATCGCCTATTTCCGAGGGAGGGACTTCATAAAAGAAGGAAATGATCAGTGCTTTTTCAGAGAAGGGCCAGAGCGGTGTGGAATAAAGGTAAATTATGTGAAAAATAATGCGTTTTAAAAATAAACGAAGCATTAACGCATGTAAGACTGCACACCATAAACACAATCAAGAAGAAAAAAAACAATGAACCACTCCTTCAAACATGAGATATAATTCATTTTGGGTAAATCTAACGGCCAGTCTTTGGTCTCATTAATCTATTATTTGTTCCAGAGCAAATAGTTTTGGCTGTCTCACCATGTTATATTTGTAACTTCAATGCTTATATCAGAGTGCTGTCTTTGTACTTTTGACTGAATTGCCTTGCAACTTTTATGATGGCTGTTGTTGTTGTTTATTAAATATTATTATTCAATAAATATTAATTTATATAAATAATAGTAGCATTTAAAAATAATGTTCAGTATTGAGAAATGCTGTGTGTGTTCGTAATGGTGATTTTAGTTACATTGTTTCGTCATTAGATGGCGAGAAGAGACTGTTTTTACCAGTCAGCAGTAAAGACTTTTATATTGCAAGAGACTGAAACGCTGTTGTAAACAAGTTAACATTTGAAGTGATTTTTTACTTTCAACGGCAGCTTGTAAGATGCAACCAACAAATGCACTGAGCAGCGCTTGCATGTCATCGGAAATCACCCTTAACAGATGAAAGGATAGTAACGTATGACAAAGATAACTCAGCGGACATTCAAACTAATGATTTATTTGTGATAATGTGATTGAGCTGAAGCATGAATGCTGTATCGGATGCAGGTAATCACACTCGCTCAGTCAATCTCTCTCTCATAATACTCTATTCCACATAATACAGTGCTTTTAATGCAGTACAAATAAACTTTTAAGTTTTGGAATTAGTAATGGAGGCTTGGGCTCAGCTGTTAAACTGTCAAATTAAGATTTGAATCCATGGCGGAAGGAAGTAGTTCTGCTCAAAAGAAGGTTTTTAATAGGGGTGCTCCGACTGATCGGCTACCGATCACCATCGGCCGATAATCGCTGTGGGATGTTTGATCGGCGGTCTCTATAGACCAATTTGGAGTAGACGTCATAGTTAGGTCACTTGCAGCTGCGCGCGCATTGTGGTGGCATAAAAACACTGGGAACAAGTGGAGGGAAACGGGTAAAATCCATGGAATAAGAGAAAAAATGTATTGTTGCGCCTTTGAATGTCAGAATCGGAATGCAAATCATTTTTTTATATAATATGTCGTCAAAGACGCCATTTGAAGCTAAACGCAAACATTTAAACGGACAAACTATGGATGAAACCTGCTATGATTACCTACTTTTAAAGCATAAATTTGATTTAAACAATAGGTCATAATATTCATATAGGGGACATATTGTATTAGCCCTACAGTTTAAATACATGCATGAAATACTATTTAAACCTAATACATTTTACATAACATTTAACTATTTTATTTCACTTTTTTCTTGCAAATTCAAGTGTATGTCTCCTAGTTCGGACTTTATAACTTGATTCAACTCAACAATTGCAAGTTTGTCCATTCTGAGGAAAAAAAGCCAGAAGTGTGGGATTGTAAACTAAACAGAAGGAATGACGAATTGGTTTTTCTTACCAGAATTGTGAGATATAATCTCGGAATTTGCTAGAAAAAAGTATTATTTGATTCCATGGCTTCAATAGACTGCTCCGTTAAAACGGTCATTTTCAGCCACAGATAGGCTCCGCCCACAAACGATCTGAAGTTGATGACGCGCCTGCAGTGAGAGGTTTGGCAGGACATGCAGTGGCACCGTCTCAGTCTCTGTCCGGCGTGGGTCAAATATTTATAACGCTGAAGGTGAGGTACAATTCATATTTCTTCATTAAATAACTTATAAAGTAATTTGAAAACTTTATGTGAGACATAATTTCGCAAACAGCGTGAGTGAATCACCGCGCGCTCTCTCTTTCCCTCTCAAAATGCGCAAATGGCTTCTAATCACATCGCGTCTGCACTATAAGCGAGCTGCACAGTTGACAAAGGAATTATCACTTGCACAATCGAGGCAGTGTTGCATCGTAGCTAAAGTTTATAAATTGCATTTCTTTTTAATTCTTGCCAGTGTTTAAACTTTCAGCACTCGCGTGCTGTCCTTCGCTTCAAGCGTGGACATGCGCACACACATAACGCAGGTTCACACATAACGTTACTCCGTTTGCAGTGCGTATGTGGTGCGTATTTTTTTCCGCGCTCATGTTAACGGATTTTAAATCGTTCACACTGCACACGGTTGCGGTCGGGCAGTGCAGAGATCGTTTCTGCACCGAGTCTTTGCAGTGCTGCACGTGCTGAAATAAACTGACAGCACATTGTTTGCGGTAAATATGAAAACGAAAATGTAGTGATTACACCATAAATGCATATAATTAAAGTCTGTTTCACAGTCAACACCTATAGTTTTAATGGAAAAGAGCACTTTTAGATGAAGGCAATAATAGATGGCACTCGTGGAGGTAGGAAAACAAAGTTCTTTATGAACCGCAGGATTGCTTGTAATAAATATTTAAATGCAAAAGAAAAGGTAGTAGAGCTGACTGTTTCTGTCAGTGGTAAGTTTTAATTTAGAATGTTTGTGATAACGTAAGAAAAGTAGATTAAATGTTTTGTCGCTTGCTTTGGCAACTGTTTTGTGCTGTGTGTAAGCTATTGTGCAACAATTGCTGACTGTTTCTGTCAGTGGCAAGTTTTAATTTAGAATGTTTGTGATAACGTAAGAAAAGTAGATTTGGCAACTGTTTTGTGCTGTGTGTAAGCTATTGTGCAACAATTGCACTAGTGTAAAAACTAGAGATAAATACATATTTTTGAAAAATCTAAAAAAAAAAAAAAACTCCCCTCCACCCCTCAAATAAAAAAAAAACCTCTCTCACAAGAGTCACCTATAAGAGGGAAATTCCCCCATTTTTAACAATGAAATTCAGGCCCTGAATAAATGTCTAAGAATCCTGTTTGGAGTATTACTATAAATAATTATATATGATAAAAATAAGGCTTTAAAAAGATCAGTATCGGTGATCGTATCAGCAGATACTGCTTTCTGTGATCGATGATCTGTGATCGGTCTCAGAAATCCTGATTGGAGCACCCCTAGTTTTTAAAGACACTCCGTTGTTGTTTTTTGTGTATTTAGACACTCCTTCAAACTGTTGTATAAACACAATAATTACACTCGTAGGTAGCCGTGCGATATGGCTGTATATATGGCGGCACACTGTGATTAACTAAGGCTGAAACACATCCGTGCCGATATACAGCCATATCTTGCGTCTACTCGTGTGATATTGCTCATTTATATTTGTAAGGCACACAATATTTTGAGTCGCATGATGTTCTGGTGTTCTTAAAAAAAAAAGAAAGAAAGAAAGAAAATAAATAAAATAACAAGAATTGTACAATTCTTTGAGTTAGATTGTCGTTTAGCATAAAGTACGTTGGGATATTAAGATCTGCTACCAAAAGATGTTCTACCTTGGGATATACAGACATCGTTTGGAAGTGCTGCCTGGATGGTTACAGAGAAAACTGCTGGTGATCCAAACAAGAAGAGAGAGCAGATGATTTGACTGACTGACTGGACAAACAGGTATTGCTGTTTTTGGTCTATTTTGGTGGGTTTGTCAGCTGGATTTTCACGAGTCAGTATTATTATTTAATTTTTTTCCCCTCAGAAATCCTGATTGGAGCACCCCTAGTTTCTAAAGACACTCCGTTGTTGTTTTTTGTGTATTTAGACACTCCTTCAAACTGTTGTATAAACACAATAATTACACTCGTAGGTAGCCGTGCGATATGGCTGTATATATGGCGGCACACTGTGATTAACTAAGGCCGAAACACATCCGTGCCGATATACAGCCATATCTTGCGTCTACTCGTGTGATATTGCTCATTTATATTTGTAAGGCACACAGTATTTTGAGTCGCATGATGTTCTGGTGTTCTTAAAAAAAAAAGAAAGAAAGAAAATAAATAAAATAACAAGAATTGTACAATTCTTTGAGTTAGATTGTCGTTTAGCATAAAGTACGTTGGGATATTAAGATCTGCTACCAAAAGATGTTCTACCTTGGGATATACAGACATCGTTTGGAAGTGCTGCCTGGATGGTTACAGAGAAAACTGCTGGTGATCCAAACAAGAAGAGAGAGCAGATGATTTGACTGACTGACTGGACAAACAGGTATTGCTGTTTTTGGTCTATTTTGGTGGGTTTGTCAGCTGGATTTTCATGAGTCAGTATTATTATTTTATTTTTTTCACGAACTGCAGAATTAACTGATTTGTTTGTTTTTTCTGTATATAAATTATGTATATGAAATATGATAGTACATGATCCAATGTGATGAACAGAATACAAAGAGTTAAAAAAAATAACTCACTAATCTATTTCTTTTCATGGGGTTACCTAATTGTAAATAATATATAAAATTAATAATAAAATAATAATATTGTTAAATATTAATTTAAATATATATATTTTTTACTTCAATAAAACCAGTTCATTTGGATGTTAACACATTAATCACATAAAAAGAGGTAATGGATGTCTCGGTTGTATTCCCTCCACCCCCATTTATCTACTTTATCACAGATGTTTCTCTTTAAATTGCTTAGAAAAAATAGACACTAATTATTGACATACAGTAAGAGTAATGAGTTCATATTGAATGCATATTGCAAATATGAGCACAGCTTGAGATGATCTGAAACATTTTAATTTTTTTACATTATGTAATTATTGATTTAATTTACCATTATGTAGATACTTCCACAAGGGATAAGAACAAAAAATAAAACAATTCTAAAAATAGATTTATAATATAAGCTAGTGATTCTCAAACTTTTTCACTTCAAGGCCCCCCATTGTCCACAATATTCAAGTCCCCTGATTTTTTCATTTTGTGATGAACAGAATACAAAGAGTTAAAAAAAATAACTCACTAATCTATTTCTTTTCATGGGGTTACCTAATTGTAAATAATATATAAAATTAATAATAAAATAATAATATTGTTAAATATTAATTTAAATATATATATTTTTTACTTCAATAAAACCAGTTCATTTGGATGTTAACACATTAATCACATAAAAAGAGGTAATGGATGTCTCGGTTGTATTCCCTCCACCCCCATATATCTACTTTATCACAGATGTTTCTCTTTAAATTGCTTAGAAAAAATAGACACTAATTATTGACATACAGTAAGAGTAATGAGTTCATATTGAATGCATATTGCAAATATGAGCACAGCTTGAGATGATCTGAAACATTTTAATTTTTTTACATTATGTAATTATTGATTTAATTTACCATTATGTAGATACTTCCACAAGGGATAAGAACAAAAAATAAAACAATTCTAAAAATAGATTTATAATATAAGCTAGTGATTCTCAAACTTTTTCACTTCAAGGCCCCCCATTGTCCACAATATTCAAGTCCCCTGATTTTTTCATTTGTTCATGATGTACTGGATAAGGAATAATAATAAGGATATATAATGAAATATCTTAGAGCTTAACATAACCAGAAAAGTGTATTTCAATCATGACAACTCTCGGAAGATTTTAGCATGGTGAT